TCTCCTCCAGAGAATGAAGACACAGATATCCGTGCACATGTGTGTACACACACGCACAAACATCCTTCACACTGTCTCAATTAAAACCATGTGCCAGAGACACTCCGTGGGGACGTGTTTATGCTCAGAAGTAAATACTGGGCTGATGTTGTACAGTTGACATCTCAAGACAGAGACATGCTGTGTAAATACTCCAGTAACTGCAGAGACCTGTAAACACGAGGCCGCGAGTTAGTCCAAAGAAGGAGCGTGTCCGAGGTCCTTGGAACTGCTGCCCAGGAGGCCACCCAAGGGCCAGGAAGGCGGGGGTGGGGATGGAACAGGAGGCCAGACGCCGTGGAGTTGGGCAGCTAGTCCCTCACTCACCCTGAAAGGGGCGGGGAAGGAAGAGGCTGGTGCAGACCCCAGAGGGGTCTTCCTAGGCCTCAGGCCTCCCGCAATACCTCCTTAGTGAGGGTTCTTTAGAGGAGATCTGCTCTTCCCCTAGTTGTTTTCTGGCAGGTTTTCGATACAAGTTTACATCAGAAAGTTGTGTGAGTCTGTCAGGAGGACTCAGGGAACAGTTCTGTGGGGCTGCAGGCTCCTATCAGGACCCAGCAAAGACAAAAAGCAAGAAAGCACACTGCTACCCCTGTTTGCAGCTGAGCAAAGCTTGGCTTGAGTCTCTCCTCCTCTAGGGTTTCCATGAATGTTTCCTCCACTACAGATACAACAGTTATAAACAGAGCCTTTTGCCCCTCAAGTAGCAAGGCAAGCCCTGGAAGGTTCCAGAAAAAGTGCAGGACAACATGTACTCCATTGGATTGAAACTGAGTGCGTGGCTGCCGATGGTCCAGTTTATTAAACTCCTCACCGATCATTCCCAGTGGGCTCAGCTGGCAGCAAAAACAGGTTTGCCCAGCACATCTCAAAGGTTTTCCTGGAAGTAACAGTGAGGACTAATGGGAGTGAGAGTGTGTGCCAGAGAGAGAGGAGGACCTGCCGCATGGGTCTTTGAGGTCTCAGTTTATCTTTATTTTCAGAATTGTATGACTCTCTATGTTTTACGATATCTGTACTTCAATATAAAAATGGAAAATTCAGTTTACCCAAAATTTCCAAAAACTCTGAAAACAGCTGCAGTCCTGAGTTTACTTTGGGGACCAATATAAAAAGCTGTCACTGGGTTTCAGCTGAGGTTTCAGAATGCCTTCAGGCTCTGGGACACAGCCGGAAAATGACCTTCCCCGTGGTGCAGGAAGGAGGTAGTTGGAGCGTGAGCAGTAATCAGGACCCTGGGCTCCCTCTGCCACATCGGTCCTGAGTACTGGGCAAGCCTGTTGGGACACAGTTATGGTGGTCCGTTGCTCGGGAAACTCGGAGCCTGGGCTGTGGGTCCTATATCAAACGCCAGAACTCGGCTCTGAACAAAAGCACAAAGGTGATATTCTTTTTTACAGAAATGGAATTAGCTTGATCACGCAAGAAAGTGTATTAGTTTGACAGAACCCCCACTGGCCTATATGGCATCTTTGTGCAGACTACTAAACTGCAGCCCTTCGTCTAGAAACTTTACTTCCCTGTGTCAGAAAATTCGGAAAACCTGCTGCTGATTTTGTTTCATTGTGGGGGGGCGGGGGGGGGGGGGGGGGGGGAAACGACACTCTACTGCCATCTGGTGGAAGATAGTTGTAATGCATTTACATGTCCAGGATATCTGTGATGTGAGGGGCACCATCCCCTTTACAAGCAGTGCACAGCCTGCACTACTGTACCTAGCACTCACTAACCATGAGGGGGGACTGTGTTTTAAGAAATGGCCTTTGAGCTTCATAGACAGGGCAAACATCAGTGGCTCCAACCTTCCATAGAAGAGACTACACACAGGTTAGGTGGGACAAAGTGTTCTGAGATGCTGCGGTGCTGGAGCAGGGCACAGAGTTTGCAAGGCTGTTTCTGAGAGCAGCGTTCCAGTCATTCCAGAGGTGTGTGTATGGGGGAGGGTGTGTGTGATTCTTAGGACTAACGCTAACACTACTTGATAGAAAAGAGCTTGCTTCTAGATGCCCGCAGGAGACAATGGTGCCTTTCACAGCATTGGTAACAAGTGTCACTCTTAAACGTGAGCACATGCTAGCTACATGAGACAGGGAATCCAGGTACTCTAAGTCTTTGCTAGATGGTTTGCACACTCTATTTCAAATCCTGATGATGGCACAGCCATGAGAAAGTGAATCGACTTTTGTGCCGCTTGGAGATGAACAAGAGAAGTCTGTTCAGCAGGACAGGCACAGTGATGCTCCTTAGACCCAGAACCGTATCGGCTGTCCCTCTGCCTCTCTTCCCATGGGTGTTGATTCACTCAGTAAATCAGACCAAAAAGCATGGAGTACTGTATCAGCTACCTCATGCTGCATAACAAACCACCCCCAAAGTTTAATGGCTTAAAAGTGACAAACGTCCACGTAGCTCACAGGTCTGTGGGTGCGGCTGAGCTGAACAGGGGGGCTGTCTTGTCCCAGCTGGACGTGTCATGTGTGCACCTGCAGGTGGCTGGGGGGTTGGCTGGTCTAGGCGGGCCTCGGCTGGGTGCACTCTCCCTGAGATTGGACTTAGTCATATGGAGGCCAGGCAGGATCCTGAGGGAGCAAGCAGAAGCGTGCCAGGCCTCTTGAGGCCTACGTGTGGAACCGAATTGTCAGAACAAGTCGCAGTGCAGATTCAAGGTGGGGCGTCGGCCCCTTCCTCGGGCTGGGAACCACCACAGAGTCCTGCCGTAAAGGGCCTAGATGAGGGGAATGCAGGATGGAGGGCATTTTTGCCGTCTATCACTCCTGCCAAGTTCAGGGGATATGCTCAGCTCCGGCGACAAAACAGGCGAAATCCTACCTTCTGGGAGTCCTAAGACTTAAGACTAGTGGGAAAGAAAACGAGGGCACAGCTGAAATCCGGCTTGATTAGCACCACAGTAGAGATGAGTTACTTCTCTGGAACTGAGAATGCATAACGTGGGACCCGTGAAGCAGGCCACCCTCCGTGGGCAGAGTTCTGTGCTCCGGAATCTCATTCCCAGTCACAGCCAGCCTCAGCCTCATGATTATGTGAAGGTGCCTGTGACACATTTGTCCCGTCAACCACATCTATTTATCTTAACAGTATTCCAAGCAGTAATGCCTTAGACCTTTCCAGTAAGGCGAGGGTTGCCCTTCTGACCTTCTGTCGGTGTCCTCTGAGGGCCTTTTTCCAGAATATCCAGCCCAAGCCCCTGTTCCACATTCTTTGCAGAGAAGGTGGTAGAAATTTAAGAAGGGAGAAAGTGGGGGGGTGGGGGAGGGGCGGGACGTGGAGGGCAGGCTCAGAAAATGGGGTTCTGGTGCGTGCCGAGAAGAAACCACCAGGGCTGCAGAACCTGGGAAGCCAGGGTCTGTCTGCAAAACTGCCCATGAGGAGGGATGCTCAGAACACAAGGCCCTCGCCAGTTGTTTGAAGAAAGCCTCCTCCTGGTCACTCAGACTGCACCCACCCCTTCCCTGACTCCACTCAAAGCGGACCCTCGGGGTTCTCCTGGCAACGTGGGTAGAAATGCTTCCTGACAGCCGTCTTGACAGTTCTCATCTTCAGCGAGGCCAGTCAGCCCCTTCTTGGGGATGGGGGGGACAGGGGGGCGGGGGGGGGGAGAGTTGTGACCATCCGGACTGTGGCTCAGCTCGGACTGAAGGAATTGGGGGAGATGTGTGCCCGAGAGCTGGGCTTGCGTGATGACCCCCCCAGCTCAGGGCTTACACTTGCTCTTGGCAACCCGCTGCAGACGTTTCTGGGGTGAGCTCTTCCTGGGTGGCACAGACCGGCCAACAGCAGACCGAACATGTATGGCTGTTGGAGTCCCTCCATTCAAGGGGGCTGACACAGGGGTTTGAGGGCGGGTAATTGATTCACAAGGTGACCCCAGGAAACACTGATCAGAGCAGGGAAGTGAGATAGGGAAGAGAAGGAAGCCAAGAAAGATGCTGTAACACCAGTTACCCCTGCCAGCATGTTCCACTGGGAAGCTAGTCATGTACCTGAGGGCTGTCATACCCAAGAAGAGAGGGAGCGAGAGTAACCCACAGCCAGTCATGTTTGAGGGCAGAGGCAGGAACGGATGTCTGACCTCAGAAACAGTGGCCAGTGAACAAAGGATGAGACATGCCTTGTCCCCCTGAGCATGGGAGAAGATCAGCTCTGGGCTGCAAAAATGGCTTACCGCCAGCAGTCAGTGAAGACCAGGTGAGAAGAGCTAGAAACTCGCCCTCCAGTATGTGAAAAACTGTAAGGCATCAGAGGGGAAGGCGTTTCCAGAACTAAGCTATAGCAAACTGCCATCCTGGATCCAGTGAGGTGCTAGATCTCGGGGAGTCCACACTTCTGGCTGGGGTGCAGGCAAGGCATGTCTCGTAGGTCTGCGAGAAAGATCTAGAGGGACAGCAAGGTAGACTGCAGACACTTTTACCAGCCGATTCTGGGAGAGCAGTATTTATCAATTACCCAACGACTAATGTCTCCCAGGATAATAATGGGTTTATCAAAAGCCAAATGAACTCAGGAAACGTCAAGTCCCTGAGTATCTTAGATCCTTTACTAAGGGTTTTATTAGACACTGACTGTTCTCCTGTGCCTTCCATAACTCTCAAAGGAAGAAAGAACGCAGCATTTCCTAACCTTATTTGACCACAAAACCTGTTTTGCTCCCAAATACATGTCTTTGAGTCATGGTCAGTAACCACGGTTCCCTGGCATACCATTTGGGAAACACGCCACAAGAAGCACTTTACAAGGAACAGTCAGTCATAAGATAGCCTGCAGGAAGTCCAAGCATTTGGAAGGTAGCACCACAAAAATGCTTTTCCTAAAGCAGTCTCATCCCAGGGGTTCTCCGAGCCCGCCCAGGTCTGTGAGTGTATCATCCCTCCTCCTCACCCAGGGGACCACCACTACTGATTCTCCAGCATTCTAACCTATCTTCTCCCCTCTCTGTCTTTCAGATGGGCTTCTTTCGCCGAAGGTACAAAGAAATCATTGAAGCTGAGAAAAACCGGAAAGAGAACGAAGATGGTTGGGACTGGGTCCAGAAAAACCAGTGACCTGCCACACCAGCCACATGACCCAGTCATTTCGCCTGTCGTCCTTGTTCTTTGTATCTTCCATATTTGGAAGAAAGAATCTTCTCCAGATTTTTCGGAGGCCCCACTGACGCTGTTCTCTTCCTCACGTTACCAAGCCCAGGAGCCAACCTGGGGCAGCCTCTCCGGCCAGGTCACAGGACTGGAGCCACCACCCGTTTCCTTTCAGAGATGAACTCCGAACTTGGGAAAAGTAAGCACCAGAGCTGAGCGATATTTATGGATGCAACGTGCGTGGTCAACCCTCAGGGGAAAACTGTTACCTAAAAGTATTTTTATAAATACAAGCCTTTTATACTGATTATGTCTTTATATTTGTATCAATGTTTTATTATTTCTATTAAATAGTTCTATAATTCACTCAAGCACTGATATCTGGCCTGAAAGCTTGGAAGGACATGTGCGTTCATACAAATTTTGAAGGATAAAAACCTGATCATACTTTGGAACTTGCTGTTACCAGAGACGTGTGGATAAAATAATCTGAAGAAACCTCGTGGGATGAATCCGCCAAGCTGTGGGGCTGCATGTGAGCTGTGGGGTTGCCGAGACCCCTGAGAAGATTCACCTCTTCATGGCCAGGAGTCAAGTTCAAAGTAATGTGCTAAAGAACTACAAGTGGTTTTTCATATGTAGCTTTCGTTGCGAGATTTCCAGCAGGCATTTGGATAGAAAAACCTGACCCTGGCACAGGTCCGCTCTCCATCACCTACACAGCAGACATCACACCCTCCTTCCACTTGGATTGATAGATGAGAGCTTGGAGCAAGGCCATTTGGTCATCTGGTAAACCTCAGAAGGGCATCTCATCCTGGACATCATGCGTCAGGGTCCACATACCACAAGGACTACATCGGACCCCACCAAGCCCAGACTTGTGTCTGAATGCCGTGATACGTGGCCTTTTCATCGAGTTCAGAGGTCTCCACTTTCCCTGCCATTCCTGCTGTCCCAGCTCATGGTGACTGCAGATCCCTTCCCAGAGATGACCATTCAACCTGTCCTTTGTTTTTAAAATAGGGTCTGAAGTGCCATTCCCAAAAAGCAGACTCTGATACAAGGATTTGTATGCAAGCAACCGATTAAGGGAGCGTCCCATGCCCAGGAGACAGCAGTAGGGGTGTGAGGGAAGCAGGACAGGAAAGGAGAGGAAACCAGGTGAGGGTGCCATTTCAGAGGACATCCCATGGAGGGCAGCTACAGCCTGATCCCGTGAGGAGCGGTCCCAAACTGAGGCAAGGAAGCTGAGCTTTCAAATTCTTGCACCCACAGGAGGTTTCAACGTCCCACTCTCGGTTCCTGCTGGCAGACTGGCTCCGATAGCCCAAAGGTGGTCCTCTAAAGGAGAGCTGGAAATGCACCCAGCCCCCACCCTCGGGGGACTTCCAGAAACAATGTGAAAGGAAGGATGCACAGGGATCTGGGCATAGCACTGACATGCGCCTTGCCCCCGAGTGTGCGAATGCTGAGTTGTGGCCTTCGGTTCCAGTCTCCCCATTTGACAGTGTGTATTATCAGACGCACTGCTGCCCGGTTTGGAGTGCAAGGTGATTTTCTTAAAGGGCGATGACACGACGGGTGTAGTGTGCTCAGCACTGCGCCTGGTCCATCGTGAACACTCAGTGACTGGGGCAGCTCTGGCTGCCGTCCCCACAAACCATCTGCCAAAAGAAAAAACACGTGGCTAAGAGCAGGGTCTGACAGAGTCCTCTTATTACGGCCCCTTATTACGGCCCATGGAGGCCCCCAGTACCTAACAAACGGCATCAAATGGGAATGAAACAAGAAAGATGAAGGATCTTTCTCACAGGGCTGCGTTTGCTGGAAACTAACATGTTGGGGTGTGAGAACATTGGTGCAAAAACACAGAACTCCACTCCAGAGAGGAGACAGATTTTCTGTGCCCGTATTCAGCTCATATTTGCAAAGACGTCTCATGCTGGGGCAGAATCAGGAGGATGCTGGACAGCTGTGAACCCGGCATGGAACATGAGTTTCTTTTCTTGCCTCATTACGCAGCTGACTCTGATGCAGGAAGATGGTGTATGTATTACGTGACCCCTCGTGGTGAATATGGGAAGAGATGGCCACGCCAGAGGGTCCGTGGCATGAATGAGGCAGGTCTTAGAATGAAGTCAGGGATGTTGCTCCTAACGGAGGGATGGAGGCAGAGAGGTAACTGCTGGGCAGATGCAGGCAAAGAAACCAGCCCTCAGAGTTCACCTGAGACTTCCCTCCAAAGTAGTAAGGGCAGCTTTGAGTGGGTCTTAGTCACTCATTTCGAGGATTCTTAGGGGCCCCTGCAGTGCATCATAAACGATGCATCTGCTGCAAGTTCCCCCGAGAACACTGCAGGCACATTTTGCCTGGAGAGCCAGACCTCCCTGCAAGAGGAGTGCGGAGTGTGGATTCCTTTAGGAGACCCCGCGTGTAGCTTTCCTGCGATGGATTCTCGTTCACCGTGTCACGCTGTCCTTTCATAAACCCCCTGAAGATTCTCCAGTGGCAAGCCTGGATCAGCGCCATCAGCAGCTTCGGACAAACGCATCTATAGCCACTAACCAGCTTCCCACAAGGGAGGGCAGACGCACTGGGGGTGGGCTAGAGGGTGACCCACTCTGCTCCTGTGGGCAGTCTCGGAGCCAGGATCTCTTTGCCTCTGGTCCATTCCAAATAGTAGACCCACGTGAGTAGTCATATACTCAAGGAGATCACGAAGACTTCATAAGGCAGTTTAAAAAAAAAAAAAAAAAATGGCCTTGGCATCACCAGAAGCAAACTTTGGCAATGACTCCAGGAATCTGTCTGAGGAAGGCTGGTGCCTCTGTGTGTTAGAGGGGGCCGAGTAACAGGTGAGTCAACAGGGAACGCTTTAACACGGCAATGAAGCAGCCAAGCACACCGTGAGCCCGCTCTCTGCGGGGCATCTTACCAGCTCCACACAGCTCAGAAGCTCTCGGTAGGTTCTCCGGGGAAGCAGACAGGGTGAATGGCATCTGTGCATTACTCCTCCAGAATTTTCTTTTAAAAGTCTGTAGCACGTTCCAGTTTCTAACCTTCCCACTCGTACGGGTCCACTGTGGAATCCTATCAGATACTCTCTCTCACAGCTGCTGCCGCTTTTAGTTACGGATTCAGTATGGTTTTTGCTGTCAGAAATACGGAGACGGTTTTTAAATATGAAAAAGGACCTTGGTCAAAATTGAGGAAAATCTTGCCCTCTGTTCAAAAATGATTCTCTTCCGCTTCGTTGATAACGGGACTTATGAGTTGGGAACATCCGCACCGTGAGTGCTAGACCTGTCATCAAGAAGAGGCCATGAAGTTAGGAACAAGGAGGCACTAGAAGAAGGGAGTGGGTCCACTTTATGGGGACTGACAGGCACACATCAGGAATCTGCTCTTTCAGTCAGCTCTTCAGGAAAATTCCATCACCAGGAGGATTCCAAAGTCTGGTACCTGTTGTAGAAAATGCAATAGTCCTCCTTCACCGAGTCACGCATAGCCTACCAAAGGGATTAAAAGCAAACAGAAAACTAGCAGGAACATCTGGGACCTGTTTTCAATGGGGAAATATAAAAGATCCCCCATGATATGTGTGCTGTATGCCACCTGTTAAAACCCTAGCAGGGTCATTTTTTAAAGGTTATTCGACTATTATTTTTGAAAAAGGCATGATGGCCGGGGGAATGCAGTTACACATAAGTCATGTCGGAAATGTGCATCTGGTGAAACCTACTATCCCTGACTCAAACTTCCGGAATTTAGAGGCGCTTCAAAAGGACCGTCATGCAGGGAAAGGGCCCTGTAGAAGACAGAAGGCAGGCAGTGAGTGTCATTTCAGAAATGTTCCAATGGACAGGGGTTTCCGGGATGTTTTGTTCTGCTATTTAGAGGGGTGGTATACAGAGTGGAGAATATTTTCTGAAACGAAGAATGGCTGAAGGGAGGATACAGAGCCAGTAGGGCCAATATGAACCTTCTAGAATGTCTTCTGATTTTCAGCACATTAGGGGAATAATGGACAAATTTCCCATGTGATGCAATGCTTTATAGCACAATGATCTAGATTTCAGACTTTGTTAAGGTTTTTTTTTAAAAATTCTAATGTGCACGGTGTGATGGGCAGAGTGAGTTTAAAAGCTTTAAGAGTGATTAATTGCATGGCAGACACCCACGCTAACTTCACTTCCAGAACCTGACTGATGCATCCATATACATTTCCATTGAGGAATTTTGGTGGGAGGGGTGCTCCTCCTTACAAAGTCACATGTATTAAAGTCTATGCAGTCACTTCTAATTCACTTGCACTGTTTGGGAAATGCAGGTTTACAAAAATACACGTTTGGAATAAAAAATGGCTGCAAATGATTCAGGAGTTTGATCTGTGATTTCTTTGCTAATGCAGAACTTGAACCTTTCTAGAATGTTGAAGACGGGCTTTGAATGCAGTACTTCATGAGCATTGCAGAGCACATGCTGGTCTATCTAGTCGTGCACGAGCAAACCCTCAATGTGGCTGAACTCTCCTCCATCCTTGGCCACCATCCCTCAGCCACCACCTTCACCCACCTGCCCGGGGCCACACCCTGGGACCTTGACCTTAAGATAAAAGTGCCCAAATTTAATGGAGTGGATTCCTCATTGTTAGTAGACTGCTTCCACATGTTTCCACCAGTCACCAAGCATTTTCCCAGGAACTTTTTGGTAGCATCCTTACACGTTTACAAACATTGTGTTCTCTTAGATTTGTGATCTCCCTCTGTCTAGTTACGTCCCTGTTCTTACCGCAAGTGTTGTTCACTTGTGTGTTTTTCTCTTTTTCCCTCAGAGGAGACCAATAAAGATCTATCTGTTTTACCAGTCTTTTTCAAGAATAAGCCTTTGGCTGTCCCAATCAGATCTACTGGGTTTTGTTTTCTATTTCATTAATTACTGCCTTTATACTTGTTAAAATTGACTTTGCTGCCCTGTAGTTAAAATTCATGCACAAACACACCACACAGAAGGGGGTGTGAAAGATACACACCAACGGGTTAAACATGGTTGCCCTTAGGTAGATGGGAGTGTCAACGTTTTAGCTTGCTTTGTTGTTGTTGTTGTTGTTAACTGAATTTTAGTTTTCTACAATAAGCACGCATTTCTTTTGTCACAATGAAGCATATGCAAATTATTTTTTCAGTAAAATTACATCTGGGAAAGTGTGAGTTGCTAAGCCAAAAGAGATCCCAAATTGCAAGTCTAGAAAGGGAAGAGTTCTGTTTGCAACAAAGAGCACTGATGAGCCTGACTGCGAGGGCAGTGGTCCAGTGAGTAATTTCAAGCCTTTTAATTCCGGATGCTTCCCGGCTTCACAGGACCTGCCACCATCACTAATACTAATTAAGTACATTTCTCTAAGGTTGCCCAACCTGTTTCCTTAAGCCAGGAGAAGGTCTGGACAACCTCAAAAGAATCAAAAGGTACAAAATGAAGAGGAAGAAAAATCACCAATTAGTAATGCCAGCTCCCTTCAATTGATAGTTTTTTCAGTCCTTTTTTACAGTCCACCGGATTGCCTCTGATCTTTAAAGTCTGCCTGTTCAGCAGGTTACTGTGCTTAGTAATAGATGTAATGTAAGTGCTTACTTAGAGCTCTGCCTACGTTATCAGGCCAATTGGCAGCTATCCATCAGCAAAGCCGCCTGACCCTGAGATCACGTCTATTCATTCTATGCACACATCCGACTGAAGTGGGTAGGAGAGGGTTTCACCAGCTCTGGGCTGAATCCTGAAACCGTGCCATCTGGGCTTGCTGCCAGACTTCTGCTCTGCCTCCAAGTTTAGTCCAGATCATTTTATACTTTATTGAATATGATTCTTCTATAATTGAAAAAGATCCTAAAGGGGTGCCTGGGTGGCTCAGTCATTAAGTGTCTGCCTTTGGCTCAGGTCATGGTCCCAGGGTTCTGGGGTCAAGTCCCACATCGGGCTCCCTGCTCACCGTGAAGGCTGCTTCTCCCTCTCCCACTCCCCCTGCTTGTGTTCCTTCTCTCACTATCTCTCTCTGTGTGTCAAATAATTAAACTCTAAAAAAAAAAAGAAAGAAAGAAAGAAAGAAAAAGATCCTAAAAATTAAAACAAATCACAGCAAAGGTATAACTAGTACCCTCTGAAACCCCCCGATAGATGAAGAAACAGGGGGCACTTTTAAAAGTATTTCCAGGAAACCTTTCTTCTAAGAAATGACAGATTAAGAAAAATGAAATTCCCTCCAAATTGACAGCTATTCAGAACTCACCTTACCAGTTAAGAGAATATCTGGCTCCATATAATAGGGAAAAAGCCAGAATAACATTGGTTTGAACATGATAGAAGTATGTTCCTCTCTCACATTAAAGAAGACCAGGTCTGGGTCATCAAGTTCTCATAGAGCAGATTCATAGATATCAGGATAGAAACTCCTATCTTTCTAGGCATGTCGTTTCCATTCTTAAAGTTATTTCATGATTTCGGATGGCTACCAGGGTACCAGCCATCATGGCAACATTCCAAGCCAACAACAGAGGAGGAGGAGAAAATGGCACATGCCTCCTCCCTTTTAATTAGCCTTCCCAGAAGTTCCATACAACACTAACCAGGAATTAGTCATTAAAAAAATGTGCCTGCCCACAAAGGAAGATGGGGAGTGTATTATTAAGGAATAAGAGGAGTATACATAATTTTTTAAGATTTTTTTATTTTTAAGTAATCTCTACACCCAACATGGAGCTCCAACTCAGAACCCTGTGATCAAGGGTAACACGCTCTACCAACTGAGCCAGCCAGCGGAAGTCAATCACCGGACACTGAAGACAACTAACACTTGCCACCCACACCATGTATAAGATATGCAGAATATAACTGCCTTAAATCCTAAGTACATACCTTTTCAATCCCTAAGTTTGACTGGATGTGAGCAAAGGGAAAACCTTTATTTACGGTGGGGGTGGGAACCTCAGCTGCACAGAGTTGGTTAATCAACTTTATGCCCATACAAAATCTTTTTTTTAGGGACGCCTGGGTGGCTCAGTTGGTTGGGCGGCTGCCTTCGGCTCAGGTTGTGGTCCAGGCGTCCTGGGATCGAGTCCCACATCGGGCTCCTTGCTCATCAGGGAGCCTGCTTCTCCCTCTGCCTCTGCCTGCCATTCTGTCTGCCTGTGATTGCTCTCTCTCCCTCTCTCTCTCTGACAAATAATTAAATAATAAAATCTTTAAAAAAAAAAAAAAGAAAGAAAAAAAATCTTTTTTTTAAAGATTTTACTTATTTGACAGACAGAGATCACAAGCAGGCAGAGAAGCAGGCAGAGACAGGGAGAGGGGGAAGCAAGCTCCCCACTGAGCAGAGAGTCCGATGTGGAGCTCGATCCCAGGACCCTGAGATCATGACCTGAGCTGAAGGCAGAGGCTTTAACCCACTGAGCCACCCAGGAGCCCCTATGAAACCTTTTCTTGATTTGTGTCTTCTCTTTTACCCAGCCCACCGCATTTCCCTCTCTCCCAGAGGCACCAAGTCTGATGAATGGAACACATGGCCTTAGAAATATACCTGGTTTTATTTTGTGTGTTTCACTAAAGTAGTATTGAGCCTAAGAGCTCGTGCTGTGTTTTATTTTTTAAGGATGTACTCACATTGGCATGTTTATATACCTAGTTTCTTGTTTCTGGTTGCCAACACCTCATTCTACATTAAGTTTCCACTGCATTTTACTTCCCGAGCACTTCTGGAGGAGACCTTCGCTGCTTCCATGCCTGTGGAAAGGAACATCTTGTCCCATGGCCCCTCACGGACCTGAGCTAGAAACTCTCCTGCTATGGATTTCACAGACTACATCTTAAGTTGCTTACAGTTTCATTCTAGTGGAATGTGTTTGATGGCCATACACAGGCATCACTTGATATTCTTTTTTTTGAAGTACAATTAACATACAGACTTATATCAGGTTCAGATGTACAACATAATGATTCAACAATTCCATACATTACTCAGGGCTCACTATGGTAAGTGTAGCCACTATCTGTCAGCAATGTTGTTACAATTTTATTGATGGTATCTCTTATGCTGAACTTTTCATTTCCATGATTTCTTTTCTTTGTAGCTGGAAGTTTGTACCTCTTAATTCCTTTTATCTGTTTCACCCATCCCCCACCCATCCACCTCCCCTCTGGCAATCACCAGTGTGTTAAGAGTCTGTTGTTTGTTCCTTTGTTTTGTTTTTAGATTCCACAGGGAAGTGAAAACATATAGTATTTGTCTTTCTCTGTATGATTTATATCAGTGGGTATAATACCCTCTAAGTTCAGCCACTGTTGCAAATGGCAGAATCTCATTCTTTTTTATGGCTGAGTGATATCCCATTTTATAGACATACCATATCTTCTTTATAATTCATCTATGGATGATACACTTGGGTTGCTTCCCTCTCTTTGCTACTATAAATGATGCTGCAATAAACATAGGGTGCATGTATCTTTCCAAGTTAAATGTTTTCATTTTCTCTCGGTAAATAGTAATGGAATTACTGGATCATAGGTAATTCTATTTTTAATTTTTTAAGGCGGGGAGGAGGGACAGAGGAGGACAGAGAATCTTAAGGAGACTCTGCACTCAGCATGGAGCCTGGCGCAGGGCTCAATCTTACAATCCTGAGATTATGACCTGAGCAGAAATCAAGAGTTAGACGTTTAACCAACTGAGCCACCCAGGTGCCCCTCTATTTTTAATTTTTTTGAGGAAACTCCATATTGTTTTCCATAGGGGTTGTACCAATTTGCATTCCCACCAACTGTCCATGAGGGTTCCTACTCAGTGGTGAACAACTCAGATCTCTCTGTTCCCTCCTTATTCCCTGCAAAGGTAACTCTTCCCTGGGGGACTTGCAACATAAGAACCACAACATAAATTGCACACTCCAACGATTATGAATGGTACAGCTTCCTCGAGGGATCCTATATTTCAGGACAGGAAGCTCTAAGACACTATACATTTGTCATTAAAACATTTAGTAACTCCTTCTACAATAGAAACACTATTTTCCAGGCTTTTCTGAAATGTGATGACCGCCCATGGGCTCTCTATGTAAGAATTCCCCAGGATATTTGTAATATCAAATATCTATCAAGTTCTCATGCTGCGTCCAAACCTGTTGACATATGACATGTGAGATATACAGTAGAGAGGTGTGTTTGAGAAGATAAGCCCTTGATTTAGGCAGATCATGGGCCAACACCCAGCCAGAGAAAAGAGGAGCAGAGGGCCATACCAACCAGGTTGCTGAGAGACAGGTGACTGGCAGAAGAGAGCTCTGGTTATTGATGAGGCAGTGCCCTCCCCCCACTACCACTATCCCACC